CCCCAAAACCCCAAAACCCCAAAACCCCATGAGGATCTTATCCTTAATTTATTTATTATTTTAATCTTAATAGAAATTAACATAAAAATTAATAGATAATATAATTCTTTCATTCCTATTCACTCTTCTAACTCTATTTCTCAGCTTTAAGTTCCTCAATCCTGTTCTATATTTATAATTGTAATTATTTTGTCCTAAGAGGTTTGAATGATATTTGCTTTGTGATAAATGAAAGATATTTTTTCTTAATAGATTATTATCGCAGAATTTAAGTAATAGTATTTTGATGTGGCTGGTTTTTTAGAGGAGTCTTTTCAGGTTCTGGTGTTATAAAAGTTTTTAGATACTTTTTGTTTCGTGAAATGCCGAGTTCTTGAATTTCTTAATATGAGTTACTAATGAGAGCTTCCATATTATGATCTACTTAGTTCCTTGATCCATAAGCATAGTTTTCGTTAGTTTGACTTGGTAACTCGCTTGATCTTCTAACTTTTAATTTTGCCTCTGATACAGACGTTTTTTGTATTGTTTTTGAAAAAGAGCTCATGTCCTAGTTCTTAGGAGGTAGACCATTAGCAAATGAAGTATTTTTCTACTTTTCAGTAAATATTGATAGCTAAGATACGTTATGAGGTAGAGGTGGTCTTTTGAGATTGAGATTTTCTAAATTAATTTGAGAAAGAGATTAATTCTGTTTTATCTTGACTCTCTGAACACTCCCAATGTTTATCTAGCAAAACTTTTTAAAATCGATGCATCCCATATGATTGTGATCGAGATACTCAAAGACTTTTCTGAAGTCCCCTAGAGTATATTAAATCCCAAAATTTTCAAGTCCTTCTATAAATTCCTTGAACGATAAGCTTCCATCAAAGTTTTAATCAATTGCTCTGAAGGCATCCCGAAAACTCTTAAATTTCTCCTCAATTCTAAGGTGCACATGCTTTAGTAACCTATTAAGGTCTTCCTCACTAGTCAAAGCCATTTCTGATTCGAATTCTAATGTATTTTTCACATTTTGTGAGTTATTGCTCTCCTTCACAGATCTTGCAGGATATTGTAGGAATATATCAATAATTGACATTAACTTCGCATAGCTTAAGTATACCTCATTTTCTTGATTATTTTATACTGTAGAAGTTCTTATGAGTCTCAGAAATTCGCCGAAAAATGAATCCTAATATCTTTTTCCCTAGTTGGATAACACATTTAGATACTCCTACTCTTTTATAATACCTAGATTCAGATTGTCTGCTAGGATAAATGCTTGCTTCAAATCCATAAGATTTTTAATATCAACCTTCTCTCTTTTAAGGAATAGTTAAATTCCATGCTTTTATTATGGATCAAATATTGTGGTGTTAGAAGCTTTCAGAAAAATGCTATTCTGCTTGTTTTTGTAAATATTTCTGCTCTTACTAGCACATGATAAATCCTTTGCGACAAAAGAGTCTAGTACAGTTATTTGTCTCTTTTTAATTAACTTTTCTTGTATTTCTTTACTAGTACCATAGTCTTGGTTGTGAATTGGACTTTGGTGTAAGAGCTTTAACTCACTCTATGGATTAGATGAAGAATTCTTCATAATTTTATTGAGAAGCTTGATGTTTCTGAGAGTTCTATCGTCAATAGTGGATAGTGATTTCTTATTGAAAAGAGTTGAAAATCATTCCTGATTAGGACCCATAGATCTATTATCTTGACTTTGATTTACCAAGATAACACTGTTATTCCTGCTATGTTTCTTCAGTTTGCTTATTCTAAACTCTTGTACATTTTATGTTTGTTGGAGATTACCAATTATACTCATAGTGTCTCATAAAACCCATTTGCTATATTTCATTTTAATGCTATTTGTTTCTTACACTTTTTTGCTATCATAAACTGTAGGTATGAGTTATTTTATTACATCTATGTATTTGATCATGTGAGGTTTTTTAGTATCTTGATATTTTTGCTTTATAGCCTCCAACTGTGAAGACTGAATCACAATACCAAGTTTATAAACTTCGTTTTCAAAAGTCTTAGCATCAATTAGTTTATCTTTTTCTACAAATCTGTGAATTTATTTTATACTTACCAAGATCAAGCTAGTTCAACCTCCTTCGAAGCTCGTATTTTTTCTATCGAAAATTGCTTAATAAATCTATTTCAGCAGAAATGGCTGTATTCATTTAAGTTTAATTTATTTTATAGTTAAAATAAGAGTTTAATCTGAAAATCTCTATAATCAAATTTTAAAAACTTTCATAGAGCTTTCTTGTTTATATAAAAAACATTCTCTATTTTTACTGCATATTCTCTAGAAGGGGTTTTGGGGTTTTGGGGAGATCGGAA